TACAAGCAGTTAGTAAAGGAGTTTTCAGGATCTCAACATCTGTTACGAGTTAAGACCAAGCTATCTAAGAGTCAGATAATGTTTGTAGAAGCAGAGCCTATATTATTTGTGCAGTGTGTCATAGACTGCTAGGTAAGCAAGACAATCTTTGCAGTCACTAGAGTTAAATTTGTTGACCTTTTTAATGATGAATAATAGAATATATAATGGAATTACTGGATACAGCCCTTGATCCTTTTTTAAACTTCATTATATGTAATGAATGTATGAAACTTCATTATATGTAATGTTTTTTCCTTCTGTTGGTCAGGAAAATAAGAGATTTTATTACACTGGTAAATTAAAGGCGTTTTCACTTGTTTTCCATGTTAAAGCTTAAATAGCATTTTGATGGATTAGAGTTTTGGCTGACGATCTTTCTAAATGACGATCTTGCTAGATTCAGCATCGCATCTTCCCTGGATGTTCTTCCCAGATAACTTTTCCAGTGGTAATGGTGCAGAGGCAGTCTATGTGAATAAAACTTGAAGCAATGTGTAAATTTCAGATACTGCTGCATCTTGCCGTCATCTCTTCCCTTCTTCAGAGGTGAATGGGATGTGACTTTACAGGGTATGCTAGGATCTGGCAGCAAGCTCTTTTTGTCTGTCTTGCTATGGCTTGTTCTGTTGAAATACTTTCAATACCTTCATATGATTTAGTTGCATAGAGTTACTGGCTGGAATTCAATTATCACAGGAGACAAGTGATTAGTTATGAAGCCTGGAAAAGGTGACTGTTAGATGAGACAAGAACTTGAAGCTAAAGGGAAAGAATTCACTGATGATAGCACTGGACTGAGAAATGGGAGGTCAGTTCCTGGTTCCTCTCAGTTCATTCGACTACTCAGCTGTCCCTTTGTGAAATGGGGTGATAGTTGCCTGGTTTTATTGATAAATTATTTGGGGCAGTGACCTCTAAACTGGTTGAAATGTCTAGGAGCTTCTGTAATAATAATAGCTCAGTAGGTATTAGTTGAACTTAAATTCTCACTTCAGCAAAGATTTAATTTTCCATTGATGCTGTACCCCAGGGGCTTAGCTACAAGGCATACTGTTTCGGTCTTCCTATGTCTAGGCGTTTGTTTCTGAGTTCTGGAAGTATAACTTATCCTGACTGTAACAGGTTAAAATAGTTCTGTATTTTTTTCCTTTCAGTGAAAGCGTATTCCTTTTGACACCAGAGCTTACTCCTCGGAAACTCAGAGGTTTGCCTTTTGAAAAAGCAGCTGGATGCCATTATCATGGACTTGAGTAAGTTTCCTGGCTTCTTTTCCAAAATTATTTTTCAGCTTCCGGTCAAGGTATAATTAGAAACATTTCAAGCAATGTGAACACTAATTATGGAAAACTATATATCCTTTTTCTTCGTTGGAACAACTTTGCACGTGCCACCTCTCCCTTTCTTATCTTTATTTTATTCACTGGTTTAAATTGCAACACTTGTCCCTTGATGGTAATGTAAAAACGTTTTAAGGGGTTTTTTCTAAGTTGTACTGCTGTAGCTTCGGCGTCTCTGAAGATATTAGTTCAGAATTAGAAGTGACAAGGG